ATACGTATTCTGTCTAAAAATTGGAAATCTCAAATAAACTGAATACAAAATATAACACACGGTAAAATAAATTTATTCAATAAACAAGTAAAAAAGTCATGGTTTTTCTGTTTAAATCGTAATATCAATATGTTTTCACTATATGAAATTTTATGGTTTCAATAAAATGTAACTAACCTGATGCAAAATAAAAGATTTTATAATGAATTTTTTATTACATAGTTATATACAATTTGGCATGCAAAGGCATACAAAATTATATATATATATATCTTAGTAACCGTATTAGGTTATATACAAGGTATACAAAATTGTATACCTTAGTAACTGAAAACAACCAACTTTTCATTGATAACAATAAAAACTAGCCGTCGACAATTCTGATTTAGCCTAGTAAAAAACTTTCTTCTATTTTTTAAAATCAAATTTGAAAAACTTAATTTGGAAGATAAGATAGAATTTTTTAGATATTTTTCGTTTTGGTCCTATGAATACCAAGAAACTATTTATAACCCATTTACAAGAGACTATTTATTTATAACACATGTTCATTATTCACGTATGATAAAAATAATAAAAGGATTGATAGGATAAGGCAACATAACACATGGGCGATCTACAAAGAGGAGTGTCTCCCGGGAGGAATTTCTATGGGAAACTGGACCGTATTTAAGTATTAGCTAAATTTCATTGCGTAGTAATATCAAGTTTAGATAATACAGAGAAAGTTGTAGTCAGCTATAATAAATTTTAAAAAATTATTTTAATAATTTAAATCTTACTTTTTATTAAATGATTTAGAAGCATATTTTATATAACTCTAACAGAAAATTAAAACTTGTTAGCTTGAAGAACTATTGAAAAAGAAAGGAAAGAAAAAAGAAGTAAAATAAATAAATAAACTTCTTAATTTTGTTTTCATTTCACGAACAATAATTTTAATGCACGTAACGATTTAAAGAATCAATTAAATGATTATACATTACTATTCGTGTTCTGTTTTTACTATATTTTGAAAATCGCCATTTTGGGTCGAACTGTTTACATCAGTTGCCATGCGAATAAAAGTGCCATGCGTATTATTTTATGTTTTGTTTCGATCGTTAAGCATTTTTTCCAGAAATGTTTTAACCTGAAATGAATCCGAATGAGCAATCCAGGGACTTTTTCACGACACCTAAATTTCGGATATGTCGAGCCAGGGCTGTGCAGTAGATTTTCTCAGTATGATGCAACTCTTCGAAATGCCACTTATGCCACCCCTTAAATGATGCTTATGACGCCCCATCACGGTGCCGCCTGATGTAGCCGCATCTCTGCATCATAGCACGGCACAGCCCTGTGTCGAGCTCCGTTATCAACTATCCAGTTGCCGCCATTATGGGCCTACCCTAACTCACGATAAATAGGGGGAAAGGCCATCTCAATGCCCATGGGGGCGGAAAGAGCCAAAAATGAAAAATACCTATTCCTGGAATTTTTCTATCACTCTGTATCGGTATATTATTTGAGTAATGTATTTAAAAAAGGAATTAGGAATAGAGTTGTTACAGAAGAGTAGAAGTTCCAACTTTAATAGGAAATACCAATCAAATGCCGAAAATTTAATAGGAAAATAAAAAAGTTCCAACTTTAATAGGTTTGAGTCTAAAGAACTCATACAATACGAATCGAAAAACAAAATTGAGATTCCTAAAAGAAGCTGATTTTGCTGAATGTTTGCTGAATTGCGAAATTTTTGGAAAGTATGTTGAAGCTTATGAGGATTATTTCGAAAAATATTAAATATATTTCTTTACTTCCTAACACGTGTTAAGATGTTAGGAAGTAAAGAACAAGCTAGTTAGGAAGTAGGTATATATGTTACCGCTAAAGCTCGAAATCCGTTAATGTGTACATTACCTAGCTAATCTGCAGATTAACTAGGGTGATCCGTTAAAGCTGCGAAAATTATTCAATCTCTCAAATTACCTAGGTAATCTGCAGATTATCTAGGTAATCTGCGAATTACCTACTAGGCACTCGGTAAAGTTAAAATAAGATCTTTGCTGGAACNTTATATTTTAATTTTTAATTTAAAGAAGCATTTTTCGTAAGCATTGATTATATATAGTTTTCTATTTTTTCAAAATAAATTCGTTAAAAGAAAAAAATTCAAGTTATATCATATAATCGATCTGTTTATTTGTTCCATTCGAATAAAGAAATCGATCAAATATAATGTATTAGGCCTATAGAAATACAAAGTTATTACTTAAATATTTATTCTGCATTTTCTCAGCATTGTGGCCAAAAATTCCAATTCTAATAATATTAAATGTATCGAAGTTACGCAGAATTTGATCTTGTTTTATGTTTAATTGAATTATAAAACTGTTATTGTTCTCGTTTTTTTTTAAATTCTTATATACTATAAGAAATGCCAGCAACTGACATAAACAGATTTCACTTTACTGTATCAAAAACTTGTTATTTATTTTTTGTTTAAATAACGCATAAATAATGTTTTTATGATTCAATGAGAGAAAGCCATCGAGGAGCGAGAAAGCACATGCACAATCTTGTCCTACAATGCTACTTCATAAGTTAATTAATTTAAGCCTAACACTCGAACCCCCCGAAAGTTGTATGCTATAGCTATGTTCACAATTAATTTTTAATTACAACGTGTAATTTTTAATTTACATGTTGGCTTGTTTTCTATTTCTTGCCTAGCCAACGTATGGTGGGGAGTGATCAACTATTCCACATTTTTTCCTCTCAAAAACTTAATAATCCATCCTCATGAAATTATTCCGTAAAACATACTTTTATGTATTGCACAGTAATTAATGTTCCAGGTTATCTCTTTTTGGTAAAGACACTAAGATATAAATTAAACGACACCATTTATTTTTCACCATAACAAAAAGATCGTATTTTTTTCTGTTACAGAAATTATTAGTTTTGCTTCTCTTCTCATTTGCACCCATTTTATACTGAACTGAACTATTTAGGGTACAGTAAAACAATTTCTAAAATAACGACATACCTGACTAGCGATGACCATAGACACTTCTTCCTATCCCTCTCATAGAGCAGCATTTCCCAAATTAAGTTCCTCAGCTTAATTTCTTGGGCTCCGTAAATTTTTAAAGATATTTTTAAAGTTAATGAAATCAAATACGTTATTTCCTTATTTTATGACTATTTTTTAAGTGAACAATTAATTATTTGAGTAGATAGTGCACCTAAACACGGTAGTTGGCATTTGCCCTTATCACGCATCCTTTGTGCAACTGACGTTGCATTGAACGATAAAAATAAAATACATATAATTGTTTATTAATACAGTTATAAACATATATATATTAATTTATTCGTTTAATGAAATAATAATAATAAATAAAAAATTAAAGTCTTGTTGGTAGCAACGTTTTTTTCCTGTCAATTGTTCATATTTATAGCAAAAGATGCAGATGAATTGTGAGAGTTACGCAGAAAAATTTTTCCTAGCTTAAGGGCTCTACTAAGGAGTTTGGGAAACGTTGTCATAGAGCAGTGTTACCAACCCATAAAGAATAGTTAAAAGATTTTTCTGTGAAAAATATAGATTTAATATTCCTGTTAAAATTACAAATCTTTTTTTGCATTTTAGCGAGTCATATTATCTGCGATCGATCAAAATGATGCAGCGATCGACCGGTCGATCACGAGCCACTTGTTGGCCTTGCCTGTCCTATTTCAATGTTGTTCTCAGTAAATCGAAACATATGATTGAAAAATAACGTAGAATGGCATAACAAATTTCAACTTGCCTTCTTTTAAATTGAGGCAATTTCTTATAGTAACAATGACCAAAATCATGGTTACTACAAGCGTTTTAATCTCTAAATGGGTAGTGCGTTCTTTCACCACGGACAATCTTATCCCACTTCTCCCCCAAAAATTCTTACACATTATAAGTACAGTGCATAGAAATATCCTTTTAATACTATTAATATGTCTTAGAAAATTACCACATTAATAGTGGAATATATTTAATTAAAAAAATGAAAATTAGGAATTTTTTACCTAAAAAGTATAGTAATTAAAACTGATCATAAAATCCATAAAATAAGAGGATGAAATAAAAAGATGTTATAAAACTTAAAATTTTATTAATTTATTTTGCAACTAAAGTTTTAAATGGTTTTATTAACAGAGAAACTGTCCAACTGTTATTTGGACTTAATCTCTTCTTGTTTTCTGCGTGAAGTTCTCGTTAGGACGAATTTGCTTTTTCTAATGATCTTTGTGCATTAATACTGCATTTTTCATTTGTTTTATTCAAAATTACATCGGAAGCGGATTTTAAATATGCACGAAAAAATTTTAAATTGTGCGGCACCCAAAAGTAACAAGTGGATAATGAGGATGGGCCGATGGAGTGAGGATCGCTGACTACTTTTGTCAATTTTTCTCAATCTAACTTGGCAATATGCTGCCATCAGTGTGTAGCACAGCACTTTTTCCTTTAAAGTTTTTAATCACTAAATAGGTATTTATATGCAGTACAAATAGAAATTTTCTTGCACTTTTCTAAAAGGATAAGCAACTTTTTATTAAAACAAATTTATGACATAAGTTAACAGAATATATAAAATGGCGTTGATCCATTATTTATCATTTACTTATGTTTGTGTTAGATTTTGTTAATAATTATAAATTTTCTTGTTCACATTAGGCCGGCAGCGACCCGCACTAAATAAAGTCTCATTAAGCAGAGTATTCCTATATTAATGGTTCTGTGTACCTTGACGTTTAGAGACAAGACAGTCAATATCTTGTAGAAATCACAAATCTTATTCACGTTAAAGGAGTGTTGAATTGTATAGATCTATAGTATAATAGAGAAAACTTCGTTATAAAATAAATTTACATTAAAATTTTGAAAACTTGTAAATATATTTATAGTATTAATCATATTAAATATTAAAATAAATTNATAAGAAATACTGTATAACTTTAAAATTATTTAGTTCAAGATTATAATCCTGAAGAAGAATATTATTGTGCAATTGCTGCCAATGTAGTACGAGAATTATTGCAACAGAAAAGGAAAAAATCTGGAAAGAAGATAACTCCTTTAGTACGAAGTGCCTTACGCTTACAATCTAGCCTTACAAGAAAATCGTTAAAAGAAGAAGGATTATCTGGGATCAAACAAATAGTAAATAAAGATTTCAAACAAATAAAAATTTATTAAAATTTTATTTTCGTATCCATATATTATACATATATTGAAATTGATAAATACACTAGTATACTGTATATTTTACATTATATGATCGATATTTTTTACAGATCAATAAAGAATCTATGGAAGGCTGCATTTTAGAAAATGAAGATATTCCATATGATTTACCTGAGAGAGTTGTAGAATTAGTTGAAGCTATGCTTAAAGAAGCTGAAAATAAACAAGAATGGGACCAAAATGAAACTAAAAAATATTTAGTAGAAAATCCTTGTATAACATTTAATATTTGGGATTATAATGGTCATCCAAAATATTTTATTTTACATCAGGTAAAGTTTTTAAATTTGTTTTCATTTTGAATTTATTTATTTACAACAAGATCCCGCTTAACGCTGCCTCGCTTAACGCTGATTCGATATAACGCCGTCTGCTCGAAGCCTTAAAAAAAAAGCTCAAAATTTACGCTGATTTAAATTATCGCAGAATTTTATTGATTCGTACATAATACAATTATTTACGAACACGAACCAATCAGAAAAAGGTGGCAAAAAGATGTACTTTCTTTAAATCTATGTTTGTTCGGTACAATTTTGGAAAAAAATATAACATCATAGACGTCATAGGCAATATCGACTTAGCTTGGCAAGAATTAACTGATAAATGCACGAACAAAGTATGGAAGAAGTTATGGCTGAAAGTATTCAAGAATCCTCAACGAGAAGAGCCTATCGTTGTATCGTTAGGTTGACCAAACTCAACTTAATCGATACAGCAAGACTAGGAGATGTAGACGAACAGGATATTGAGGAGTTACCGCAGATTTCTGGTCAGAGTCTTACCAACGACGACCTTCAAGAACTGGCAGAACAAGGAATCCATGTAGAACTGGAAAATAGAGATTCTGAAAACGAAGAACCCAAAAAATTTCTCTACAGATTTCCTTAGTAAAAGTTTGATAATGATAATGAAATCGTTGATCAAATTGTAGCGAATGATCTAAATTTTGAAATGAGTGCAAAAGCAAGACGAGGCGTTTTGGATGCGATCTTCTGTTACCGACATTTGCTTAAGGAAAGAAAAAAACGACAAATAAAACTTCACGACTTTATTGCATAAAAAAAAGAAAAAAACAAGAATTCAGAAAAGTTAGGACCTTCGTCACAAAAAATGAACTATTAATATATTATTATACATTTCTGTGTGCATATGTTTGTGTGTTATTTAACATATATTATTATACAAAGTAATATAAAAATAACTTAAAATTAAAGTAAATTTTTTTATTTTCGGTCGCGTGTTCCCCTATCCCTATTTAATGTTAAAATGACCTCGTTTAACGCTGTTTCGTTTAGCGCTTTGTTGTCTAGGAACGCATCCCCCGCGTTAAGCGGGGTCTTACTATATTTATTTATCTTATGAAAAAACAACCCGAATATTTTAGAGAATCGCTCAAAGGCACATGCTATTTAGAATTTGCTTATATGATTAATATGCTCTTCTCCAGTCTCTATATATTCTAAATTAGTTTTATAATGCAGAAAAAAGTACAATAGAAAATTTTTTACGGAAAAAATATTATAATTATATATCACAAAAATTATTTTACGCTAATTGTATGCACTATGCATTTGTTGATTTATATAATTAATTTGGATGATATAAACCAGCAGTCGCCAACCTTTCTGACCTCACGGACCACTAAATTCACAATTTTGAATCCTGCGGACCATTACCGTAAATTTTTTAAACGATACAAACAAACATCTATAGAATAATTATAATAAAAGTTCCATTTTACGTTATTAATATGAAATTCACTTGTTTATGACAAATTAGTATAAAGTTTCCTGCAGCTTTTTTTAAATAAATTCATGAAATCTTGGCTCTTTTCCACGAAGGATGACAATCGCACTCACATTATTTATTGATTTATTGACATTATTATTTATTGATAAAAGTCATTCGTGTTTTGTTTTAGATTCGAATAAAAAAAAACCCTAATGGATGAGAAAAAACAACCAATGAGTATTTTGCATTTCTTTCGCAATACTTCGTGTAACCTTCAGTTGATCATTGTCCAAATTTCTCCACGGACCACCAGCATTTTCTCATATAATATACCGGTTGGCGGCTGCTGGTATAAACAATTTCACTTTTGACTTAAATCACAGTTTTTTTTATTTTAAAAGTAATACAATAGGAAGCGTGCAAACATTTATTGTGACATCGTCATAACACCGGGCTGCAATTTTTAATCATATTTTTTATTAATTTAATTTAAAATATATGCTCGCCACCTCAAATTAGTAGTGGCTAATCCCTGTATATCATACTTTTCCTGTTAGAATAGAGTCATCCCGGTCGTCTATCTAATTCCTTTCAGGGAAAAAATTTTGAATTGAAATAACGTGACTTCAGATTTGTATCGAGTTAGCGGGATGTTTTCTCTGATGAAGTAGCAAACGAAAAGCTGGTTATACAGTAGCGCTGCAGACGCGCAAGGGGTATCAGGGCTCAGCCCTGCCTACTTTTTTAAGCAGGGCAAAGCCCTTGTACTTTGTAAACATTTACCAGTATGTTGGACTTTAGACTATGTACTTCAGTCAAAAAACTAAGAAAATTAAATTTTTGCCCAGTTTTATTTATGCTGATTACGAATATATAAGTCGTTTTTTGGCCCATTTAAGACGTTTTGCAGGTATTGCGTCACAAAGTTAATCTTTGCCCATACAAAACTCCGGTAGACGGTGGCGCCTCCATTGACAGATTCAAAAAATGCCAGAGCGCCGTTTAGCGCTCTGGCATTTTTTAATTTACGACTACATTCCTTATGTACAGTACAATAATTTATTACGATCGGTTCTACACAGAGTTTTATTTATCTTTAATAGGTTATGTAAATTTATTATTACAGGAAATGAGCTCAAAAAATACTGCAAAGTACAGTTTTATTAACTTACCAACTACAGTAATATAATTCATGGATATCGAAAACATTTGTTAAATATAATTTCGTTATAATTATAATTACTCTTTAATTATAATTTTTTATTGTCAAGCAATTTTAAATTGCTGTACAGGTTTCCGAAAAAATTTACCCGAAGTATGCAGGAATTTACTTTATTTATAATGAAATTGTACAATTGCAACGGTTAAATTTTTTTTTCAATATCGTGGGTTCGGTTCTCAGGGTATATGCCTCACACGCCTAATGTGTGGCATATGCCCTGTGAACATTGAATATGTTCAGTTAGGTATACACTTTTTCATTTGTACATTTTTTTCAGACCATCCCTTCAAAAACGTATAGCCGAGGTTTTACTGTACTTCTAAATATATGTTAAGAGATTAGTTTGAGAAACAAAATAACTTAGTATTTGTAGCATTTTTATTTTGTACATTGAACTTTATTATTATTATTACTACTTGTAATATTTCAGATATAAAAAATAAACTTATATATGCACAAGTACTGAATATCACCCAAGTTCAGTTTACAAGATAAGTATTCTATGAATACTTATCTTGTAAACTACAGGATTCCATTCTGTTACATACTTATTTTGCTATTTAAAACCTTTTTAATTAAAGTTTTTATATTTTATTTTCCAGTTATTTTTATCACCTCAGTCAATATATATTTTTGTATTTGATTTGACAAAAGATTTAGATGAACCATTGGATCTACAGAATTCAAAATGGGTAAGTACTGTTATTTTAAATACAGTAATAAGAACAAATAATTTGAAATTTTAACATAGAGAATTACTAATTTACAAAAAGATTTATTTTTAGTTAGAACTTCCAGACAGTAGTGAGCTTACAACTTTACAAATATTTCATATATGGCTTTCTGCTATCCACATATCTATTGGACATAATAATGGAAATAATGATAATAAAGATGTGGAAGATAAATCATCATCTCCGATATTATTGCCTATTGTGATATTTGTTGGAACTCATAGAGAGTCTGTTCATTCCGACCAAGAAATAAGAGAAAGAATGGTAAAATAAATTTATAATTTATATTTTGAAATTAATTTTAATGTTTCTAAATGCCATTGGTTAAAAATAACTCTTTTAATTTAATAGATAGAAGATTGTTTTAATAAAATCAAAGATTATTTAAGAAAATATCCATACTATTATCATGTTTTGCCCAATTTTTTTGCTATTGAAAATAATTCTGAAGATGAACAATTATTAAATCTTAAAAAATGTATAGAAGAAATGGCTTCCCAACAATCACATGTTGGAATGGAGATACCATTAAAATGGCTGGCATTTGAAAATGCTTTAGGTCGACTAGTAGAAAGAAGAATATTTTTAGCAGAAATGCATCAAGTAAGTTATTCGAAATAATTAATTCAGTTGTTTAAAGACTATGTGTTTTATAAATCATTATTTAATTTTTAATTACTGGGTTAATTTGTAAATATCACAGAAAAAACTCTAATTATTCCACGGAGTAACCACAAAGTCTCTACGCGGAAATTGGATCTTGGATTTCTTACAGAATATCTCAATAACAAATTTAATAAATAATAGATTTGACATGAATCTAATCGAATCGAATAGTTGACACCTTAACGTCTCTCTTGGAATTCGGACGGACTGAAAAACCCCAGGAAATTTTTCGTGGGCGATCTGTCCTGAATATATAGGACCGTCAAGAAAGAGAACCTGAGGATTTTTTCCGATTTCAGAAATAACTTACAGATCCATAGTAATTCCTATCCCTACGAAGCAGTGGTTCTTAACCAGAGATCTATGAGATTGGAAGGATATAATTATCTTAATTTTGCGAAATTGTTAATTATTGTGTTAGGAAATAACACAATAATTAATAATGAAGGGGACCGTGACGTTCACCCGACTGGAAAAGGGGTTCATAGAACAAAAATGGTTAAGAACTCCTGTTATAAATTAATGTTACTTTTAATAACAAAAAATAAAATCTTTAAAACTGCTTTATATTAATAAATAAACATTATATTTATTTCATTTGTTTAAAAAAGAAAGAAAAACAAATGGCAAAAGAAACACGCTCTATTCCCAGGCGTACGAGTAATTACAAGCCTTCAATGGCCTGCGGATATGTTGAGTCCCTTTTCTCACCCTATTGTGGGTCTGGTTGAACCCATAATGAGCTTGATATAAAGGTCTTAGTGCCAATAGGGCAAAAAGAGTTTTAAAAAATAATAATAGTAACTGAAGATCTAAAAACAGTGATTAGGGACTTCCAAACATCAACATGGAAGGTGTCTAAATGGACATGAGGAAAATTAAAATTTAAGCAGAGAATTGAGAGGAACAAACAGATAACTTCTAACTACCATGAAAAAATACTTTGTGATTACTCTGCCTGTCTGTGTGTGTGTGTGTGTGTGTGTGTGTGTCTATGTACAGTACGTATCTGTACATGTACTGTACAGCGTATTAAAGAAGCTGAGTATATTATTCAATATAAACTAAAGCAAATGCTAAGCATAGAAATTCAATTTATTAGAACTGAAAAACTTTATATAATGGATGTTTTAACATATTTGAATTTATTTAGCATTTAAAATAGTTGTGGTAATTTTATTAGTTAGCAGAAGTTGCGAGGTTAGAAGGTATTGAATCAGACGAAGCATTCCATTCTATGATGAATTTTTATCACCATCAAGGTAGAATATGGTATCTTCCATTGGATTATTTGGATCATGAAAAAGATGATGCTGCCAAAAATACAGTCGTGCTTAATCTTCAATGGTTTATTGATCATATTTATTTAACACTCGAGGAAAATAAAAATGATGATCAAGTAAGGGTATTATTATTTTATATTTTGTAATAAAATGAAATCAAAAGATAAATACTGTAAATAAAAATAAAATATCAGTATAACAGTTCAAAGATGCAATATTGTTTATTGATTGATACTAGGGAGAGTTAAAGATTAAAATTTTAATTTTTACTTCAGCATGAAAAAGCTTTGAAAATAATTCAAAACATTACCCGGAGAATAATTTCTTAATGATAAATAATATTGCAGATACGAATTGTTATATATTACTGTTGACCCTCAATTAATAGACTAATAAGAACAGTAATAATATGAATTGTTCATTATATCCAAAGATGTAATAATAATCAATTATAAAATTAACTTTATATGAAATTATAAGACAAGCAATCTATATCGTGGTAAATACAAAGAAAATGAGCAAAAATTATTGTGACGTCTTCCCAAAGCCGGGCTACAATTTTTAATCATATTTTAAATCTATTTAATTTAAAATATATGCTCTCGATCTCAAATTAGTAGCGTCTTTCCCTGTACATAATACTTTTCCTGTTAGTAACAGTCATACCTGTCATTTATCTAACTCCGTTCTGGAGAAAATTTTTGAATTGAAATCAGATAACTTTCGATATAGATCTGAAGTTCGTATATAGTTAATCGGGGCCTCCTGCCTCTAAGTTTTCTCACTTTAAGGGTGTAAATAATAACTATTGATGCATTATCTAGCAAACATTTCATGCACTGGCATTCACAATCTGCTCAAATACTGTATTTTCACTCCAGCAAATGTCTTTCACTTGTTGAGTCAGGGTTGGGCAGGAGCTGTTTTGCTATTCGCCCCCTAAACTGTCGGATGTGGTCCAAATGTCTTTGAACAAGTAGATTTAACTCATCGTTTTTAAAATCTCTCACATAAAAGTTCATAAAATTAAGGATCAACAGTATTTTGTTCTAGTTTTATTTTATGTCACTGGCTTTCTATAGTGATTAATGCTGAACATCATAAAAATTTTCATAGCCGGATAACTGTTTTCTTGTTACCTGAGTACCGGAGATATTTCGGATAAGTGTACCCGAAATATCCGAAGTCATGTCGTATTCGCAACTGACTTCAAAAATTCTTATTAGTTAAGTATGTATTAGAACTTGTCTATTATTTAAGATTTAAACAAAAATAGACTGTTGACATTAAATTTAACATCAATTAATCATTATAATACATAAAATTGCTCCAAATATTTCTTAATAACAAGGAAATTTTTATTTAATGTGTGTAATGTAGTCATAATTTACGATGGAGTTTAATCGTGCATAAATACGTGCATAAATACATTAAAATTTCGAATGGTTTTCATAAACGTGTAATTACCGGGTTAAAATAATTTATCTATTTATGCCAAGTATAAAGAACTTTAACCTATTAATTAGGTCAGCAAATTTAAATTATTAACGAAAACATACGTGTAAAGTTTTTTAATTTATCTAACACGGCAAGTAACGGAAAATCAAATGAATAATCAAGGCATAATTTACATCAATCGCAATCACACGAGCTAATGAGTATTAATTAAAAATAAAAACACTGATTTTCTCAAAGGAAAAAGTTATTGCGTGTTGCAAGTGGACTTTATAGTTTCCATTTCAATTTCTTTTTTATTCAATTGTAGGAACAAATGTCTAATTAGTATGTTTCTAGTGCATCACGTTAATTTAATAATGAAAACGTTTACCTTTGTTATCGTAACGGTGCAGTTTTGATTCTGATCGAGGTATGTAATAGTTATTGTAAAATGTATAAAATATTTTCAAATTTTCATAAAACTTTACTTGTATTAATAGAAATATAAGATAAATAAATGAAGTACAAGATCCATTCACTATGATTCTTTTTATTACCGTGTAATTTTGCACGCGTTTCTTTATTATTATTATTTATTTATTTACTTTCTGTCTGGCATGAACGTATGACTCGAGTTAATTTTAATTTTTACATGTTTAATAATATTTATTTATTGTCATTTTTTATTATACGATCGTATAAATTGCGAACGCACTGTATAGTGTACTCATGATTATTCGATTATTTTGTATTGAATTATATTAATTATATTGAAATAAATATTGAATTAATTATTAGTAAAAATTTATTATAATTTTGTTCATTGATAATTTTTCATCTTGTATACGTGGTCTTATAAAACAGGTACCACGGATAGGGGTATGCGACGTTCAGCACTATAGTAGTGATATAAAATAAAAATTAATATTGTACTTATTAAAAAAACTAAACGAACTACATTTTCAATAAAAAATTAATTTATTTCTTTATAAATTTTAATTTTTAAGTTAAAGTTTAATATAAATTTTTTAGACTGAAAATGACGATGAAACTACAAACAATTTAAAAAATTCAGAAGCGATAAATGGAATTATTATTGATAATTATTTTGAAAATATCTGGCCTGATACTTTTCATCACAAAATAACTCTACTTGATATTTTGGAAACGGCAGATGTATTGTGTGAAATTGATCCTGAAAAGGTATTTTGTATTCATTTAAATATAATTTTGATTATAATATATTTTTTTCTAATGAAAACTTAATCATTAGTATTTTGTTAGAGATATAATATCATAATCTAAGATTACATTAGTATAAGAGTACACATCTTTTCTACAGTTTTAATTTATGAATGTAAGAAATTGTGTCCTGGTTCTCCCAGCTAAAGAATATCTCGTGGAAGCAAACTTGAATCATGATAGATTGAACGTAGATCCAATATGATATAGCCTACTCAAAGTCCAGATTAAACAATATATGACAATTTTTCTTTGGGTGTTATGAAAGAAACCTCTCAATTTTTTTTTTTTTTTTTTTTTTTTTTTTTTTTTTTTTTTTTTTTTTTTTTTTTTCAGTTGAAGAAGAATTAAAATCAGCTAGCACAGAATACTTTAAAGATCCCAACTATCAGCATAAAAAGATGATGTCCAGAACAATATGGAAATAACCAAAATGTATGTGGAAAATAGATATACAGATATCCCCTAAGCTTTAAGAACCTTGCACACATTATATGTATACAGGGTGATTCAAAAGTGGGGATAGGTTCCAAAAGTTAACAAACGTATACTATTCTTTTTCGTTACTAAGAGAAATATGTTTATTGAAGCAATCAATAATTTATTTCCAATTAATAAAGAGCGATTATTTATTATGACATCGTCACAATGCAGGGTTGAAATTTTTTGTCACATGTACTTCATTTTTAGTAGTGTTTACCCCTGAACATCATACTTTTCCTGTTAGCAATAGAGTCATGCCGGTTATCTATTAACTCCTTTCAGGGGAAATTTTCGAATTGAAGTAACATGACTTCCGATTTTTAAAAACAACATTTTGAAATTCAAATCAATTTTATTTTTCTGTCAATGGGAGGGCTCTATAGCCTTTGTTGATTCACCTGAGCACACCTATGAATTTTCCAATTTATTGTTTACATCTTTATTACTTTATTGTGTGTTTTACAGTCTGTTTCTGTATTTAAAATGTTCATATTATTGTAGACCTACCTTCTGTCTATAACCTTTTTTAATGGGCTTCAAAAATAAATTTTACATAGGGCCACCTCTGCATCATATATGTCTCTGGTTAAATATAAGCTGAAACTTTTATTTTATTAATTGTTTACATCTATTAAAAATTCCTTTAATAAATATTTTATAATGACTTTTAATTCTGAAGAATGTCAAAAGATAAAATTCATCATACACTTAAGTAAAATGACTGGTACTGTTGTGTCTGGAACATATGGAATAAAAAAGTCCAAATAAACTGTTTTTCATATTTAATTACACGTTTGGAAATTGAAACAAGCATAGATTAAGAATAAGATTCATTTTAACACTGTTTCCAATTAACTTTTAATTGTCATAAATTATGGAAACTAAATCTCTGTTGTCTCATTTTTTATTTTTAGGACTTAGATAAAACTGAAAATCAGCAAAGTGTATGTTATTTTTTCCCATGGATGGCACAAGAAATTATGGATCACAAATTGATACCTGTTACCATGTCTAGTTGCTTAAATTTAATAGTTGAATTTCCAGATTTGTTACCAGGTGATATAGTGTTACTTTAATAATAAAAAAAAAATATGTTTGTTTGTACTAGTACAGTTGTTTTTATTAAAATTTCTAATATTTCAAAAGAACAAAATGTTAAATATTTTCAGATGTGGTTTTCTCAAAATTAGTTACTAGAACATTTCGATGGTCTGAACAACATAGCTGGAGAAAAATGCCATGCATTTTTCGGCAAACAGCCAAAATAGCTGTCGATCATCATCATGATATTATAATGAGAAGATCAACACCTGCTTATGATCGAATCAGGGTAAATTTTTAAAAATGAACTCTCCATTATTAAATTTTAGTAAATTTAATATATAATTCCATTCTTCATTGCATGTAACAAAGAATAACATGTTACATGTTAAATTTAACATGTAACATGTTATTCTTCGTTTTATATAGAATTTAAACAAAAAGTCTTTCCTCAGCTGATTACTTTGAAAATAAATAATGTGATTATTGTAAACCATTTTCTGGTGAATACTAAGTCAAACATATGCTTAGTAATGGTACTCCTTATGTGAAATGGGATAGAAGCTATTTCTGTCCAAAGTAGAAATAAGACATCAGCATTTGTTACAAAATTCCAAATAATGATAAAATACATAGTTTCCACTTTTTTCTGAAATAGCCAACAGGATTCTGGAATGGACTGTAAAAATGTTGCCACCTATTTGCACCACTCCATATCAAGGATGCAGTGCAGAAGGAACAAAATGTGAAATTCACATAGGCATGGATTGGACAAATGTTACAGTTGAATGGAAAACACTAAATATTGATTAAATAAAAAACACAAAAACTACTGATTACACAATTTTTTTGTTTTACTTATTCAAAATGACTAATTATGTAATAATTCACTTATACTTTTGAAACTATAGAATTCTGCATGGTTAACATCATCAGCAATGGTAGTTTTTAGGCATTTTAAGTATTTAAACTCAAAGAAATGTACAGTACATATCAGTGTTTTTGATAATTTTCATTCAACTGAATTATTTAGTCTAATCCATGGCTATATGAGTGTTGCATTTTATCTTTCTCATATTACACGTATGGACAATTATTTTACATCTGTACCAGGGTCCTGTTTGTTATTTTGGAATAAAAGAAAAGCTGAAATTACATATTTTTTTCATTTTATACAATTTTGTGTCAATTACAAAGTTGTATTTTCACTTGGGAAAGATTGATTCTGTAGGTTGTGGAGGACAGAATCTATCAATATCAGGACAGAATCAAATCAAGGACAGATAGAAATGCTATCAATTAGCACATGCTCAACTTAGTATATATTGGCAACTGGCCCACAGTAGCTGTATTGTATTATTTGTTTTTGAAATAACCAGCTGGAGAATGATTTTTGTTATCATCCTATGAGATCATTTGTAAATTAATGCATACTACATGACACTCTCATCATATTTATATTACTAAATTAATAACTCAAGATTAAATAATCTGAATGGCAGTTTAGCAAATATTTCATTTATTCATTTCATAAGGAAATACACATAGATAATTATAACAATAAAAATTTGTTTTATTGGATCTTGCACACATTAAGTTTCTCTAATACTTTCATACATTAAGCCCATTATCATAAGATAGAAAAGTGAACTAGTTTGATAGTTAAGTCATCTATTTAAATGATTTAGCTATTGAGCCAGCCATCTAATTGTATTAGATTTTAATTTTTTAAAAGGGATTTGTTTCATTATGTATTCAGATAATATCAGCACAAAATAATATTCTTATTACTGTAATGAAATTAATTTTATTTAAAACTATTTAAGCATAGTTCACTGTCAAAAATGATTACACTCTAGAAAAAAACTTAATAATTTATTTATATGATACAGTAAATGAATAATTCAATATGAATTTTTAATAAATTTATAAATTTGATAGATATAAAAAAACAAATTACCTGTATTTAAATTAATAATTGTTTTATATAATATTGCAGATTATTGTAACTNTAAAATCATTGTCATATATTCAAAATATAAATAGAATGACCACAAAGTTTATATGCATGTTAGTTAGAAGTTAGCCTCCACTTTTTACGTAAATTTTAATTTATCTTTATGTTCTGGTCATCATTTATGCCAACAGTTGAAAGCTTTTAAAGCAATCCCTGATAATAATTTTTAAGGTTAGTGCAAGCAGTACATATATATGCTTACTACCAAATAAATTGGTATTCTGAAAGCCTCTGTAAATAATATTTGAGTTTATTGTACCTATTTGTTAAGGTGACCAACTTTTTTACAATGAAAAGGAGGACACTAATAAATTGAAGGAAAAAATATTGTAAATAAAAATCATTTTATTCATTGCAACAATAATACTCTATAATAATCTCTATTGCATGCATAGGTATCATGTTGTGATTCAATAAGAAGTAAACAAAGCCATTTGCACACACTCTCTCTCTCTCAAGGAAGAGCATGCATCTCATAATTGCATCTCGTCGCATTGTACAGAGCCTTGATGAATCGTCATGTTAAATACAAACACGTCATATCACATCACATGGAAAGGATTGGTTTAGCATTGATTGAATATGGAGATTTACAGATTAGTCTTCAAATATAAAAAAGGAGGACACTTTTCGAGGGAGGACAGAACTTACAAAAGGAGGACGATTGGTCACCTTATATCTGTAGATACCACCAAACACATGTAGCCAGCCAAATGGCCAAGGTAGTTAAGGCATCAGCCTAATGCTTTGGGTGATCTGGGATCTAGGTAGGTTGAAAAACAAGAATTTTTCAGTGAACTGTCCTGGATATGTTGAGCTCCATCCTTCACCACTCAGCTATCCCATTGTGGGCCTGGCTGAATCCACAATCGACTTGAAAAAGGCCTTCTTCATGTTCACAGGGTAGAACGAATTAAAAAATAAAAACAGCATTTATTTTTATGTCTTCAATCTTGTAAAGTTAAGAAATTTTATCTTTCACATTATTTCAAAATCAGTTGTTAGTTGTTGCCATATCAAGATTCACACAAGATACACACATATCAGATTTACATCCAATCTATCATCCACTGAATTTGTCACTAAAATATTCTCTAGCTGAGAAATCTTGAATATAATCGTATGCATAGGAGCTTTGTGTCTATTCTGTATCATAATTTAACAATAATATTTGTTATTAGGTTCGCCATCTATTAGAGAGTGAATTAGAAGCAATTAGAGACAATTGGTACAAAAGATTATCATTTCGTTTGTGTGTTCCATGCCCTTGTGAAAGGTATTGTGATAAACACCACATCAGTCATTGTATGGAAGAAAGCTGTGTTCATTTATTATTATTAAATGACTGTCTTTCTCAAAAGGTTTGAAAATAAATTAATCATTTCATAATATACTGTATTTGGAAATTTAAAACACAAAATTTAGATTAAAAAATTTATTCCTTTATAGATTATAGAATGTGACTATAGAAGAGTTAAAACTGACTTTATTCAAAGATACTTTCCTGAATCATCATCTTCAAATGGTAATACACTGCATAATGTATCATTATTTTATTGTAAGTTTGTATAAAATACCATACAAACATTATTAATGAAAAATTTAATATGAGTCCAAAATTAAAAATAAAAATGACTGAAATAATAAATGAAAAATAATAATAAGATAATGTTTTTGTTAAATTTGTTGAACATATGGCATAACTTGTTAAACCATTTTGTAAGAAACAAGCTTCATGTCAAAATGATACAATGCTCAAATCTATAAAATAGCAATCTTCATTAAAATCCAGCAAACAAACATCAATGCTTAAAATGAAATTCAATCTGGCAAACTAAAAACAATATTTTAATAATCTTTGATATTAGATTTGTAGCATTGTTAAGATAATGTTCTTAATAAAATTTGCAACTGTGTTTAAAATTACAATTTCAAATTCTATTTTATATTATTTAATAGTTTTTTAAATCTGTATGCTTGCTTTTAAGGCTTATATTTTAATACAGCATGAGAGATAATGCTCTTTACACTATTTAATTCTAGTTGAAATAGTCAATATTTATTAAACTCATATTTAATTGAGAGATTATTTTAATTAGCTTATTCATGGATTACAAAGCATTCATTGTTGCACAATAAGGATATTATTACCATAATCGTTAATAACTTTTGATGCTATTTTTAAAATTGGATAGGAAATGCTTAATTGATTATATTAAAAGGCTATTTATTTATATTAATGTATACACTGATAGATGAATACTCATTAATGACTGGTGCTGAGATTCGTTCTTGTTGGGAAAGCTCTGAACTTTCATCTCATGATCCTCAATGGATTAGAAGTGCAGCCAAAGTTCTTAGTTTTGGAAATGTAGGAAAAGATTGGACAGCTCTAAGCAAAAAATTAGGTAAGAATTTTATATTTAGCTGGAATTTATTTTAATTAAATTTATATATACTGATATATTTAATTGTAGGTTATAGTGAAAGAGAAATAGCACGATTTGAAGATGATATTCATCCGAGCATGTCTTTAATTGTCGATTGGATAGAAAGTAATGGGAGAACTCGATATTGTATTGATTTATTAATATCATGCCTGGAACAAATAAACAGGAAAGATGTAGCAGATGTTATACAGAATGAAATTGGTAATACATAATTATTATTCCTTTTTGTAAATTTTAAAATGCATCTCTGCATTATATTGATTTCTAACTTATTTATTTAGGACCAGAATTACCTGCTCCACCTGTATTTATAAGTTATCAATGGGATTCTCAAGAAGCTGTTCTGGGTTTAAGAAGAAGAATGGAATTGGCAGGATTTCCATGTTGGATGGACGTTGGACAATTGGGTGGTGGTGATTCTTTATATGGAAAAATATATGAAGGAATTAGCAAAGCAAAGGTATTTTTGGATTTCAAACACTTTTTTAATTTTTTAGTTTTAAAATTTTTATGATAATTTAAATCTATGAAATAATATAAAATAATTGTATAATTGTAAAACTTTATAAGCTCACTTATGATGCCAAATATATTATAAGAAAAAATTGTACTATCTTTCAGCATTAGATTTATTTATTTTAAAATCAATATTCAAATTTTATATATTATATTTTTGCTTGAGGAAGACATTTTAAAATGTTGAAATACTTGAATATATTTCATAATATATTCAAGTAGTTTTTTATATTCAATACTGTAGTTTTTTCAATTAAATATATTTTTTTCTTAACACTTTCCTTCCAAAAAGTTTGCAAATTCATCTAGAGAAAGTTAGAGAATATCCTTCTCATGTCCTACTATAGTTTATTAAAAATTAGTCACTTTATACTAAACAAAACCAAAATTAATTGCATTAAAATTTTAATAGATGATAATATGTTTGTCTGTTCAAATTCTATAATCATTAAATTTAGTCCAATTACAAACCTGTGAATTTTAGTAAATTAATTATTTACTAAAAAACTATGAAGTTATGAGTTTTTTTAAATTTTGTAAATTTTAAAAATTTATTTGTCCTGGAAATTTTTATCAAATTCATCCAAGTTATAATTGTTAAAGTTACTGTAAATTTTTATAGATATTTTTAAACTATTTCAAATACAGTTTTCATTTCGACATTGTATTTGAAACATCAGCAATGTATAGGATTGCCATATTTATCACATTCTCAATTACTAAAATGAGGATATCATCATCATCATCATCAACATTTGTCATACAACATGCTATAAAGTTTGTGTTTAGCTAATTTTTATGTCATCGTTATTATAACAAGAATAAATAGAAATGAACCAATAGCAAAGCCAGAAAATCTTACAGGAAGGGATAACTCAAACATTAAATGTATTTAAATAATTAATAAGGATTTTTTATTATCATTTGCATTATAAATGTATTGCAGATGGCCTGCTAAACCATATTTGTGATCACAGATGTTATTAAATGCAACCTTTGAAGTTCAAACAATTAAATTTTACTTTTTTGTGCCAATGGGAAAAGCTTAAGCTCCTATAAATATCCTTGGATCTGTCCCTGAAATAAACAACATTTGCACAGTGAATGTAAAGAATATTCAAAGATTTGTAATAACTACGATTTTCTCAATTTTCACTCAAATTTATTATACCATAATAAATACTTTTTGCTTATATAACAGATTAGTGCTGCTATCTTATGGCAAAAATCTCAAAATAACCAATACACATTTTAATTTTTGTCATTAAAAAGCTTATATCTTATTCAATGCCTTTATTTTTATGCATAAACTTGAGAATGGCAACCTTCCATCTTATAGTGATATTTTTAAATCTTAATATTAAGAAGTTCTGAACATTAATTTCATTTCTCAAATAAACCAGATGATAATTTAACCTATAAAACTGAGGATATAGCCAGTAAAATGAGAATATATGTTAACTTTAGTGATGTATCTTAGGAAGAAAAGACAAAGAAAGTGTGCTTAATTAGTGTTATAAGAATTACATTCTCATCATCAATTCTCTTCATTCTATACAAGGTATGATTTCCTATCCAATTCTGTTCTGCCCCATTCATGTAATCTCTCTTCAGATTTTCTCTTAAACTTCAAAAATCATTTACAATCAATTTTTATATCTTCCTCGAACATCTTTTTCTCTCTGGGCCTTTCTTCCTCGTATTCTAGTCTAATGCCTATTTCACAATGGTGTCATTATCTTGCTTCAGTATATAAGACATTATGGATTATATCTATTAATGAAATTTTAACTGAAACCAAATAAGTTTTGTTTCAATAATTAAAAATAATATTTAAGAATATATTAAAATTTATTAGCTATTTTAGAAATAAATAATTTAGTGACAATGTATTGTGTTTAATATATTTATTGATGTACTGTACAAACAAATGTGTAGCATAATTTCAGAAGTGCATTTTGAATAAATTTTCTATTTATACTGATGGAACACATATAAAAATTTTAATATAAAATTTCCATTATTTCAAATATTAATAAAATAATTTTAAAAATTATTTTTACAGTATTTATTATAATTGTTATATCTCTTATGTAGGTAGTGTTGTGCTGCTTGACTCCCAGCTATGTTATATCTCCAACATGTTCCCGTGAAGCTAGCCTTTCTGATGTGCTACACAAACCAATAGTTCCTGTCATGTTAGAGCCTACTCCATGGCCACCTCAGGGTCCTCTTGCTATTATATTAAGTTCTTTGGTTTATGTTGATTTATGTGGTAAATAATAATTTTAAATATTTTCTACTTTTTAAATAAATGTAATATTATAAGCCCCTCAATATATCATGCATGTAGGGAAACAAACCAAATAATCAATATCTCAGCTGACACAATATAACAATGTATATATTCATTACTGGCTAAAGCATTTGCATATTTGGAAGATAAAAAATAACATTACATATCTGAAGAAGCAATATAAAGATTTGTGATATAATGAGGAGCTACTACGGTAGATTTTAAATAAAAGAAATTACTTTCAGAAAATAATAAGTAATTTAGAATTAAATCTGTTTATTGCTAAAATAAAATTATTTTAAACTAATGAAACAAAATTTTCTTTGTAAATTACTATCCTTAGTTGTCAATTCTTACATAACATTTTTTAAATAACAAAATCAATAATATTCTAATTTCAGGAATTGGTGGGCATGGAGGAAGTGGACGTCTGGCTGACTGGGAAAGCAGATTTCAAGAGATTGTGGAACGGGTATCTCATTACATATCACCCATGTTTGCACCACCAATCCTTACTCCAAGAACCACGGGAAAAGCAATAGTATCATGTACACAAACACTCCGTCTGGAAGAATATAGCAATCCAGCTTTAAATATTACAGACAGACATGGAATATTTGAAGTATGTTTTTTTTTAATTATTCAGCTTGATTTTTAATTTCAATCTATCTTATAATATATCTTGCAAAACAAATCAAAAATAGATAAAATTAATTTTTAGTTATCATAAACTAACTTAATAGACAATGGATACTGATTAATCAGACAGAATACTTCAAGACTTCCCAATTAAACAGCTGTTCCAATTACGCAAAGTTTATATAAAGATAAAAGATATATATATATGTAAAACAAAAAAAATCTCATATTTATTAAGGAACAAAAATACTTAAATAAATTCTGGAATAAATATTATAGAATTGAAAAAAAAATATTTCTTTCTGCTAAAAACAATTTCAATTCAATAAATATATGTCAAATATTACCATAATTATTTCAATTGCTTCAAAGATGGCAACTTGCCATCATTCTGTCTTTAAATATTTTATGATTCCCAAGTCTGTTGACTACAAGGTCAATCCTGTAGCCAGAATATAGGCAAGGAGGCTACAGAGGCAAACTGAAAAAATTGTGACTGGTATTTTTCTTTTTTCAGCCAGCACTAGGCCTATTAGCTACAGTTTAAGTGTAAAAATAAGTAACAATAGTCTTAGTTCATATGATGAAAGCAAAACTATATATGTATTGTACATGACTAAGCTAAAGGGGGCTAAGCACTACTGACTAAGCTACTGAATAAGCTAAAGGAGCTTAGCCACCTGTTAGCCCCTGTAGCTTTGGGTCTGATCAAGGGTATGTTATTATGAATGAGCTATTATTTATTATGACATCATTACAATGCCAGGCAAATTTTTTAACAATGTTCTCAATTTTTTAGTAGTGTCTTGCCCCTGCACATCATACTTTTCCTGTTAACAATAGAGTTATGCTAGTCATCTATCTAATTCTCTAATTTTAATTCTGTATTAAATATATTAATGTACTGTATTATATAGTAATATACTGTATTAAATGTATTAATAATAATTCTGTAATATGGCAGACATGCCAGTGGGAATTTATAGATCTACAATTTTTGAAAATTGAAGCTCAAACAGAAATTCCAGATATAATAGTTTAAACAAGCTAAATGAGAACGTGCCACATAGACAAGAAAAGTTATTTCTTTTTGTGTTCTATTGTGGTTCTATATCCCAACTCATTAATCATCTCTTAAAAATTTGAAATAATTTAGTCTTGTTTACACTAACAAAAACTGCTAAATTGTTCATTCTTATAACATCAAGATTTAGTATCTTTCCAGTTACCGAATGCTTTTGTTTATCAATTTTTAGCATGTTTAAATAATATAGCATATATGTTTATCATTTGATCTATTGCTTTCTTTCAGACCAACAGTGTTCTGAGTTTTGGCTCAGAGAACTGGCTAGTGTGCTGTTTATGGCTATTTCATTGTCTGCACAAAAATTTTGAAGCAACTTGTGCAGTTTACTGAATTTTTTTCATCCATCATTATCAGAAAATAAATTCACATTTTAGAAAATCAACTCCAGCAAAAAGTTTAATTAAACAAAAATGCAACCACTTCTAACTGAGTAAACTTGATAAAAACCACAAAAACCAAATACCAGCAGAAAAAAGAGGAAGCTGTTCTAAGAATTGTAAACTCACCATTCTCTTCCCCTCCCTAGGACTTTCTCACATCACCTCCCCTCTTCATACATGGACAACAATCCCCTGTTTCAACAGCTGCAAAGGTTATTAGCTTGTTGATGCCCATTCAACATGAGCAAAAATGTTAGCTCTATTCCGCATCTTTTTCTGCTGGTATTTGGATTTTTGTGTAATTAAACCTTTTGCCGGAGTTGATTTTCTAAGGTGTAAAGTGTATTTTGTTACATTGTTCATCATTATTTAAATGAGAAAGACACTCTCAGCATTTTCCTTCTCATGATATGATTTATTGAATTTAATGTTACACGTACATTTCTGTTGAGACATGCAACCATCTGTTACTTTGGAATATTTGTAGCCATTTTAGTGCCCATCATTTTCAACATTGGATTACTGACATGTGCACTTTAAAGTTATGATAAAAAAGCCATATATTCAGGGCTTCTACAAGGTTTGCATCCTTGCCTTCATATTTTTGTTTTTGAGAATCTTTTTGTTCTTAGCTGATTGCATACAGAATCACTTCACTTTCAATATGCATGTGTTCATTATTGAAGGAATCAATACTATCTTACTCAGTGATGACCTCCATATCACATAGCACAATGTGGACTGATACTTATTTTGTGAAGTTATTATTAAAAAAATTGACAAATGCTGGTAGTAGGCAGGAGAAGTATATTTCATGTTCAATGAGATTTTAACTTTTGTTCATTAGAGATTAAGATTTCCAACAATATACATACATATCTTGAGATCAACTCATTACAGTTACTGTAATACCAACCAATAATTAAATTCTTACAGTCTGTGAAGCTTTTCCCTTATAATCAGCACTAACTGACAAAGACTTTCACAACTATGAAGTTCAGCTGTTAAAGTCAACACTAACAATATAATTTTCAGGGGAAGAAAAGATTAGGGAGTGAGAATTGAAATTAGACAAATGAATTGGGTTCAGTTCCATGGTGAATTGAAGTAATAAGTGTATGCACTTATTACTTCAATTTACCGTGATCTCTCGATGTTCATTTTTTTTTATACACCAAACCTCCATGAACAACATGACTCTTCTTTTTGTTTTTATGAGACAGATGTTGATGAGAGACCAAACTCCTTACAAGCCTTTTACAAACATAAAGAAAAAGAAGCAGCCCTCCATCCCTTACTTTTCACTCTTAAGCCACAAAAACAAAAAGGTCCTACGTGACCCATTTCCCATATATTTTGTCATTCATCACTCATTAAAATGTCTAAAACCCCACTGATGCAGGTGTCTCACTTAATCACACATAGTCAGACGGATAATCCAATTAATAACAACCAACTAGGGTGGCCATCACTTAATGCCTAAAAAAGAGGACACTGTTGGGGATAGCCCCCGCGCATCCTGTTGACCTCCCCGTGCTTTCTGTTTGTTAATACATATATGTATAAATAAAAAACGGAAAAATAAATTTGGGATGCCTATGAGACCGTCAAGCGAGTTGGGCGTCGGCACTCGATCGCAGCAACTTGCAAAGAAAACGTCTCTTCTTCTAAGGGGTCAGCAACAGTCTGCTTCCCAATTTTAATAACTCCAACCTCCTCCACTTCGCCAGCCGCACATGCGACTTCCGTCTAGTTAAAAGGAGAATTCTGTCGATGTCCGAAGATGATTGGTTAGACCGTTCGTCTTTGCCATCCCTCGTCCAATAAACATTTGTGACCATTTGTAAACGCTTGTGAAATTATTTGGCCTCTTAACGAAGAAAATGGCCAAAGTGCCACAAGGTCAAAGTGGTGTGTGCCATCTGGAAACGATAACCAGCTTCCTCAATTCATTCGAAGTGACAACGTAACTATTTTTGTACACATTTTTCATCACACCCCAAAAAGGAGGACAAATCGATGTACAGCTCAAGGTGGTGCCGGTTGGAGGACAGAGAAGTCAAATGCCTGACAATCCGGCAAAAACCGGACGTCTGGCTACCCTACAACCAACCTCAAGAGAAAGGAAAGAAATAAAATATAAAATGCTTAGAGAATAAAATAAGAGACAAAAGTAATAAAATAGAAGACAGTTTAAAGTTTTTATAACTCTAATAAGTGTCTTCTGTTTTATTCTACGAACAATAAAGTGGCACAGTTGCCACAACAAGTACAGTATACTATCTAGCTAAATATAAAAAATACTTTACCACTGGGGTATTTAAATTTCTTTATTAAACATTTTTTGACTATTTATGAACCCTCGTCAGGTAAATTGTGTTCGAATTCTGAACACAATTTACCATCGAACATTTTTTTACAAATTCAAAATGAATTTTGAACAAGAACAAGAATATAAATTATAAGAACAAGAATATAGTTAACGAATTTTTTAGCATTAAAATCCTAAATGACCCACCAGTGGCCAAGCGGTTCCGTTCCCTGAACATTGGGAGTTCGGTCGTGGGTTCGCGCCTCACCAAGATGGGCTGGCCACGTGGAGTTTTCCAGGTTTTCTCCACGTCTGTAACGCCTGAATAAAAACCAGTTACCTTTACAAAGACCTCCGGGAAGGAATCCCCCAGGCAGATCGCCTAAGTGTTGCGTTGCCGTAACTTAACTAAACAAACAAACAAAATCCTAAATTACTATAATAACGATAATAAACTATCTCCAAAAAATTAATACGATAACCTAACAAATTACTATTTAAGATTGACAACTGTCCAATATTGTTGTACAGTACATATTACAAAGTGTTTTTACTCGTCCCAAGTCCTTTTTTAATGGCGTATCTCCATGCCGTTGGAAATCGCTCTATCTATACATTACTCCTGGATTAGACTAGATTATTATACTATTTAGCAGTAACTATCCTGATTAAGCGATATGGTGTCCTAAATAACTGAAACAAATATTGACTATTTTCTTGATTTGTTTTTGGTTTTAAGATTTTTTTTCCAAATAAACAGGTCCCCCTATTAATCAATGACCCATTGATCGGAGTCTTATTTCCTGTTCTGTTGAAACTTTTAAATGCTTCAAGATTGTCTGCTTATTTATAAAACATTGAAATTCATATCTAAGTTTTTTTTTGTAGAAATTCATAAAGAAACAATTTTACAGATAGATTCAATTTTCAAATTGCACTGTTTATTTATTCGATGAATGAAAATCCAAATTAATATTTAATTTTTCTAAAGAGAGAAATCATTAATTAACCAGTGAGATTGAATTTCTTGTTATTCTATATTAAATAATTTATACTACAACAAAGGAAAAAATTACAAATATAGGGGAGACCGGGGCAACTTCGGCATGCGGGGCAAGTTTGTCAAGCGCTTTTTTTTAAAAACAAATTAAAAGGAGACTTTGGTTATAGGTTAGGCAGTTGAGTTTTATTGGTGGCTTGTTGAGTGTAGTGTTTTTATTGTTCTCCAACAAGCGAATGGCCTATCAAAATTACAAAAATATCAACTTTGCTCTGAAGTTTGAATCCAGATGATATCTTCGGAAGTTTTTATAGGTGATTTGATTCAGATATGTTGGATCTTGTCATTCCCCCATTCAGTTCTCATTGTCAGTCTGGTTGAATACATAATGAACAATAAAAACGTTTTTATTGCCCATATGACAGAAAAACTTAAAAAATTCAGCTATTGCTTGACTTTATAAAAATAATTACAGTAATAAAGTTTACTATTTTTTCCCAGGATCAACAAGATGAAACAACATTTACGGATGACACCGAAGACATAAATCCCTACACAAATAACAGAAGAAGAGAAGACACACCAATGGCATGGCAACAGCCAAGAGTTATAAATCGCGTAACCCGATGTTCTATATGTATTTTACTTTAACATTATATTTTTATTTATAAATCATAAACATCAAAATCATAAATTTGTATGTAAATATGTATAGATTGCATCAAAAAAAAAAAAATAACTGTTCTCTTTTACATATATGAATTTCTTCATTTCACATGTTGTAATATTATTCTTCTGTTATGTATTTCATATTGATATTTATATAAATATTTATATATACATATATATATTATTTAAATAAAATTTTTGCACTCTAACAGTTTCCATTAAAATGAATCTTTGTCTTTTTTTAATTACAAATTTGTTAATATATTTCAAAAATATAAGAAAAACTGGCTTTTACTATTTTATATGCACAGTTAGTGAAATATATATGCATAAAATGGCCACAAAGTTCCTTTCAGGGCTTTAAGAAGGGGGAAAATGATCCAGAAAACAGAGCAGCTGCCATAATTGCAGAGATGGTCTCCTAGTTTATAAAGATTTCACTTTCATTACTTGCATACTTATTTCAACTTTTCTAATTTCTAATTCTACCTGGGTAGAGATATATGCGTTGTTGATGAGGAGGAAATCAATACTTTATAATTTAATAATATTATTATACAGGGTAAACAAAATGTCAGCATAGCTACTACAATATGTTTGTGTTCCAAAGCATGCAGAAGTTTGCGGCTAATATATAATGGTGTTCGCAACAGAATATATGTGTGCACTTATTAATGGCAAGGTAAAAGCTGCAAATGAACTGTTACGAAACAAAGTTCCAGGCAAACAAAACAAAAAGGCCAAAAAGTGTTACATAGATGAAAGAATGAGAATCATGTATCATATTTATTTTGTGGTATTACTGTATTAAAAAAAAGTAATGTAAAAAATATATATATAAATGTGAGGATCATAGGACACCAAGTTTAGTTTCATACACATCGAAAATTCAGTACGGAATAATCTATCAAGGATAGAAAGAAAAGTAGAAGAACACCTATCGGAAGACCAATTTGGTTTCAGACAAAACAAAGGTACACGAGAAGCTATACTAAGCCTAAGGATGCTCATCGAACAGCTTATTTGGGTAAAAAGGCAGGCACTCGTAGCATTTATAAGGCCTTTGACAACGTGGACTGGAGCATAATGTTTAAATCACTGAGGAACCTGAAGGTAGACTATAGGGATAGGCGAATATTATACAAGCTATACATGAATCAAACGTGGTTATAGAAAGAAAAGAAGACAATATAATGAAAGGAGTAAGACAAGGTTGTGGACTATCGCCACTATTGTTCGACGTAGCCTATACTTAGAAGCGGCAATGGAAGAATTCTACGCTATTAATACAAAAGGTATAAAAGTGAACGGAAAGTTGTACAGCACAATAAGATTTGCTGACGTCATAGCAATAATAGCGGAAGATGTAGACGATCTACAGATAGCTCTTGAAAATCTAAACAAACAGTTTAAAAGATGTGGGATGAGAATAAATAGGAAAAAAACGAAGATCATGAGATGTTCAAAAAAAANAAATTTACAATATCTTTTCTGAAATTTCATATTGTTATTTATATATATTACAAAAAAAAAAAAAAAAAAAAAGAAAAGAAAAGGAACAAGGAGGAATGAACGTCTGGAGAACGGTGAAAAAATAGAAGTCAATGAGTTCACGTACGATACCTAGGAAGCATAATTACCTCAGAGGGAAGGAGTGAAAGAGATGTTACAGCGAGAATAACCCAAGTAAAACAGGCATTGTATAGGAAACGACAGATGTTAACATCAAAAAAATATATCAATAGATGTTAGGAAACGATTCATTAAGTTTCATCTGGAGCATAGCATTGTACGGTTCGGAGACATGGACACTCCAAACAGCGGAGAAAAGTAAACTGGAGGCCTTTGAGATGTGATGCTGGCGAAGAATGATGCGAGTGTCATGGACGGAGAGAAAGAGGAATGAGGATGTTTTGGAAGAGGCAACAAAGAGACAGATTTTGAGAACGATAGAGGAAAGGAGAAATGACATGATTGGCCACCTAATTCGACACTCGGAATGGATGAATGTTTTATTGGAAGGAAAGATAAAGGGCAAAAGGGAACATGAAAGACCTAGAGTGGAATATCTCGACGAGTTATTACGAAAAAGGCCTTACCAACAGAAAACAGCTAGCTAAACGAAGAGAGAAGGACACATCCATGCTTTCCCACCAACCACTGGTTGAGGAGAGAAAGAGCGACTGTATTAAATAAACTATAATATTGCATAGAAATGTTGTACAGAAATGATCTGTCACACAAAAATTTCTGCAGAGTGTACTGTAGAATCAAAACGATCAAACCAGACAAACAATAACAATGGAAAGTGTCAATGGTCTTGGACTGTAAAAAATGAGTAACAAATAGCATTAATTTGGCACCTTTTTCAGGCCACTTTGAGTAATTAATTTGTGAATAAAAAGTTCTTATGTTTGATATTAGATTACATCAATTAATTGTCACCTACAGATGCATTATATATTGCTATATTAGGTATAACATTAATATATTGAGAAGGAAAAAAACACTACGCTACTCGTGCCATTAGGTGGCAGGGCATCAGCTATTCACGTCGGCTGTCTTTGATGTTGAAGGGAGTTTCGTGTATTGATATATATAGTATTTGGCATTACTGATTATACAGTAGAGTAGTGGTTTCCAAAGTGGGCGCTACCGCCCCTATGGGCGATGAGTAAATCTAGGGAGGCTAAAGAAGCAAGTGGGAGGCAAGGTACCAACGGTGACCATAGGCAAAGGTTGTGGTCACTTATAACCTTTCTCGTTTCTCTGTTAAACGGGTAAGAAGAAATATTGCATTTAATGGTTTCCGGATGTTGAGAACAATGTACGGTATAAATATAAAATGTGAGGTTCATAGAAAAAAGTTTTCCTAAGAGTATTTTCAAGCCTTTTTCGCATAAGAGAAAATGAATTAGGGGACGTTGGGTATAACTTTATGGAACAAAGGGGCGGTGAATCGAAAAAGTTTGGGAATCATTGCAGTAGAGCAACGCTGATCAACATTTTGTGTAAAATCTTACCTCAAAAAACATCTAAGTATAATAAAAAAATATTCCTCATAACAATTTGAAACTCATAACAAATTTGAAACTCATTTGAAACTCATAATAATTTAAATGCTTTTTAGCGTTTAAATTGTTATGAGTTTCAAAAATTGTGTAACAACTTCATTTATAGCAGTAACCACGACTACTGTACCATTCAAAACATCAGATATTTTATTTAAATAATTAACATTTCATTTTCTATTAACCTAACATTTCAATATTAGAGTCGTTACATTGTATTCACGTGTCCCTGCACCTGCAGCCGATGCTACTGACTTTTCTTGCCTTTGATTTAGAAGGAACAAATCGTAGCATGTTTAGTTTCTTGATTTCAATTCAAACTTAACTTTTAAAATAAATCTTTTCTCCCGTTACGGAAGAAAAGATTTCATCTTGGCGATTCTTGGTTATATTTGCGTACTGCTTTTTATTTTAACCTTGGCAATAAAGTAAAATTGCACGAAAGAGAATAAGTTTTACTTTTGCTTTTGAATTCTATTAATTTGTGTGAGACCCGAAAGGCCCCTGGGTCTAAATTAATATTTTATTAATAATGTCAAAATAATGTCACCAAATATTACTTCATTTTTGGTGAGAAAAATACTGTTTTAACGTGGGAATAGGCAGATAACAGATGTCACTTCCTTTCACAGAAGAGAACATCCTCTGACTTTCCCTTATCTGGTTAAAATCCTGCTCAGATGGGAAATGGTTACCCCTCATTCATTCCCCTTTCATCCGTTCTCATGAAAGAGTTACTGGCCGATGATTGGTCGGTATTCCGAAGATATACAGGGAACTTGTGAGAATTCGAAGAGTTCAGCGACAGATCCGAAAGCGTCCAAACTTCACATACGTTTCTCTCCTGATGACCAACGTCCTTAGACGAGTCACATACAGAATAAGTCTAGAGTCTGCACATAGAAGTGATGCCTTTATATTTGTGCACATAGTGATCTCCCATACGAAGAAGTAAATGAACTTTATCTCCAAAGTGTCCCTTGCATACAGAGAAGAAGACGAACGACAACTGAAACAGGTCGTATGTTTTATAATGATTTTGTGAGCTCTCTCTCTCGATCGCGACTAGGGTATAATATAAGCTTAGCTATCGCTCGATTTGTATATTATTTGTAGTGATTCTGTCCCTCGTTCATTAAGATTTTTGTATGAGTTTATTTTCTTGTTTTATTAAATTTATTATTTCGTTTTTTTATTAAATGTCTCCTAATATGAATCGTAATAAGTATACTTCACGCGTGTTAATCCGCGTGTTATAAGATTGATTAACTGGTGTCGGGACCCTGACAATTTGGGATAAAGACTTCACAGTCTTGAATCCCCTTTTCCTAAATATTACCGCCCTCCTATAAAAAGTTCAGAAAGCCGATCTCACGATCGTGCGCCAGTAAGTGATATAGGTAATTTACTTATACCCTTGGCTACTCTCACACTTGCAACGAAAGTTTCTTTTTTTTAAATATATAACAAACAGGAATAATTTTCTTTAGAAACAAAACAATATCAATAATCAATAATTATCAATAAATTTTCACTATCTGTAATAGTTTTATTTAAAAACAAATCAAATAATAAAAAGATATAATTTTCGTTTTCCGAAAAACACGATCATCATTGATAAAATAAACGAATAACATTCGGTTAATTTTTTACGTCAGACCAAATTCTTTAATTAATAGGAGGCAGTCAATTTTTCAACAACTTTCCGATACTTCTAACGTTGGTCCAGGGTACTTCTCTTATCCTGAAGTTTGCTCCAGGATAAGCAGAAGCATCATCAATTTGCGCTGTAATTGGTCAAAACGTGTCACAACGAGTTCATGATCTACGTTCTATCGTCTTTTTAGACTCGTGTCGTTGTGCTTATTCTTTAGATACACTGAGTACATTGCTGGATGCGGATATAATTTTGTGAACAATATTTCAATAATAAGTATACATATTAAAAATCAAAATATATTTTATTATGGCATTAACCTAATAACAAACAAGCCTGTGAACAGACATTTGAAATATATGCATTACCTTTCGAGAGCAGCAGAAAAACGCCCTTGAACAATTGTGAAAGTATCTAACAAGGGTATAAGAAAACAAATAGAAAATAAATATGAAAATATTGGCAAATTAATATTTGATTTCTCCGCCTTTGTTAGCAAAAATTTGCCATGATCTATGACTGGGCTGAAATTTGAAAAAATTATAGCCCTATAAATTCTCCGCTGTTGTCCTTCTTATTGTATGTCTGTCCTTCCTTCCTTAATCTCGAGAAGAGCGTTAGATAGATAAAAGTTGAGACCAGATATGGAAAGCTAGAGATAGGAGGCCCCGATTAACTATATACGAACTTCCGGGCTAAACCGAAAGTCACCTTATTTTAATTCAAAAATTTTCTCCAGAACGGAGTGATATAAATGACTGGCATGACTCTATTGCTATCAAGAAAAGTATGACTTACAGGGGGAAGACACTACTAATTGGGATCGAGAGCGTAAGTTTTAAATTAAATAAATTAAAAATATGATTAAAAGTTGCAACCGGGCATTTTCATGATGTCACAATGTCGGGTTACAATTTTTGAAATAATTTCCGAATTCATTTTTTTTCTGTTTTCATTGAGCAACTTACCAACTTTTTGTATAAAATTTGTCATTATCGTAAACTTCCTGACTAATTACGTTAGAGTTTTTAGTTGGCCATTCAAAAACATCGACAAAATTTGCTAGAAATCACTGCAAGACCACCCTAGAAATCGCATTGTTGATCAGTGCATATCTTCCTCATACCTGTCGTTTTCAGATACATCTCTGACTACTTAGAAACGGTGTTAATTGAAAGCTATTATCATTCATCTTATTTATACATGTAGGCTACTGTACTTTTTTTCATTTGCAATTTTTTGTGTGCAACAACTACCAGATCAGGGCCGGTTTTAGTAGGTATGTAGTGCGTGCATGCACACATGCGGCCAAATTCTTAGGGCTGCCGATAGTGCACTAAAAAATATAATTTTTCATACTGTAAATATAATAATCAGCATACTCCTGCCGGTCACTATCTAACTCCTTTCCGGAGAAAACTTTTTGAATTACAGTATGTATAGATAATTGGGACATCCTGCCCCTAAGCTTTCTATATTTGGTCTTTATTTCCACGTATCTAACTTCGCTCTCGAGATTAAGGAAGGACAGAAACGGACGGACGACAGTGGGAATTTATAGATTACAATTTTTTCAAATTGCAGCCCAATTTAAATAAACAAAGAGATGCGCACCAACGTTATTAAATATTCATATTTAAATACATTTTTATATACACATACATATGTATTATATTTATATACTAAATAAAAATACTTTCATTAAATTAATTTCATTTTAATTTGCAACTTCTATTTGATGGCGACGCAGAAATATAACTTTAAACAAAGGCTCGTATTATCTTGATTTGAATAAAATTAAAATAAATATATATCAAATATATTTATGGATTCTTTTACCCCTTTCAACATGCTAGTAGGCTCTCATACGTTGGCTTAGATTGTGAATTTACTCACGATCAGCATTATTAGGAGCGGCCAAATATCTCTGGCACGCTGGCGGTTAACAGTCCAAAACCGGGCTTGTACCAGATGTCCAAAGAACATATGATTTTCTGCTGCCCCGAAAGAGAATGTATATATTTTAAATGTCTGTTCACAAGTTTGTTTGTCATTAGACGTAATGTTATAATAAAAATGTTCGTTGAAAATTACGGATTTAAACACTATAGAATATGCTTAGCACATAAATCTTGTTTTAGAAACTGATTATTATATAAACTTACTTTAAATTTGATAAATACAATATAAATCAAGCAAATACAAATAATTGTATTGTGATCGCTATTTTTATGCATAACAAAACTGATTCATGCACGGCTTGTTTTTATACTGTTGTTATGGTCATGATCTTTATTTGTAGTTTCACTTATTTTAAGCGGGTAAGCAGAATATTTTATGCTTATTTTTACAAACTTATTATTATACATTATTGCAAACTTTTCTCAAGATGACTCTTATGTTCGTCCTAAGTAAATTTTTGTTTTACATCGTTGTTTGCTTGCTTAACGCCAGAAAAATATACTTTTGTTCATTTTTGACGTATAAACGAAGACTAATGGATCCTCTCAAACGCCTACTTCGGGTCTGCTCGCGACCTACTTTCTCAAGTCCAAGAATCTGTCACCAGATGCCACTTAGTTGAGGCACGAATAAGTTAAATCAATTATTATTAAAGTAAAATACTTTTAGAAACGAAATAATATTGTATTAATTTTTGCATAATTAAAGTATGATTGAACAAACGGTATTGAAAGACTAAAAAATATCAAAATATTTTATGTAAAATGCAGATTAAAATCGATGAAGTACTTACTAGCGCGACACCAAACACGAAACGAAGGAAGCATTCTTGACGTCAATGTGACGTCGAGTTATTTGTAATGTCGGAGTTGTGTTGGATTTTATTCTTAACGGGATAGAATCGATGTTTAGGGCTGTTAACAACTGTTTACTGGATAAAAGTCAAAGAATCGGCCCAATGAGAGACAAAGAAGTAAAAAATGATCATTTGGCCAGAACTATGGCATCGAATGGAGACAACGATTTGTTTCATCAAGAACAGAGAAGGAACGATAGGGAGAAGATCAGAAAAAAATTAGCAGCTATGGATTCTGATAACGAAGACGTCAACATCACGTACGAAACCAATGGCAAGAAAATGGCCGATGGAGTCAATTTACAGATCTGTTTTGTTAACGACACCTGTGATAAGGAAACAGAAACCACTAAAGTGTTCAGGAATTCACAAAATCTAAAACAGTATCCTGCCATGAGCCGATATGGAATACCCGTCGAAACTCAAAACTTTAGTAATCTGTCCGGATGTCGCTCCGCTCAGTCATATCCCTACTGGCAGAGGCCCTCGATTTTCTTCAATCGGCGCCTGAAGCTCTTAAAGAGCCAGATCGACAATAAAAAGGATAGGAAGACCTTAATGAAGGAAGATATCGTCCTGTATCATTCTAGACTTCAGTCTGAAGTCAGGATAGCTCTGTCGCAGGCCAAAGATATGGCCCGAATGCAAATATTGGTTGAGAGACAGCAGAGAAGGATCTCGCCTCTCTCCAGCTTGGTCGGCTTCACTTTTCCGGAAGGTTGGTGCAAACTGGACGGAGAGATACTGAATAATATGAACCTTGCTCAGATTCAGGTCATCGTCAACGATCTTCACTCTCAGATAGAAAATCTGAATGACGAGTTAGTGAGACTTCTGTTGGAACGAGACGACCTGCACATGGAACAGGATTCTATGCTGGTCGACATAGAAGATCTGACTCAGCATCTGGGACTCAAAGGAACTAGAGAAAAATGATTATCTGCACACTAAAAATAATCTAACTTGAAAACTATTGTGTGTTCACCTTTGAAAATTTACTTAATATTTGCACAAATACTTTTGTTGTTATTGTTGTTTTTTGATATAAATAATGTGATTTATTGCAAGATATTTTAGATGAGTTATTTTTGATGCATTTAATTCTGCATTTGATAAGCATGAATATATATATATAACTATATAACTCGTCGGGTTACAATTTTTGAAATAATTTCCGAATTCATTTTTTTTCTGTTTTCATTGAGCAACTTACCAACTTTTTGTATAAAATTTGTCATTATCGTAAACTTCCTGACTAATTACGTTAGAGTTTTTAGTTGGCCATTCAAAAACATCGACAAAATTTGCTAGAAATCACTGCAAGACCACCCTAGAAATCGCATTGTTGATCAGTGCATATCTTCCTCATACCTGTCGTTTTCAGATACATCTCTGACTACTTAGAAACGGTGTTAATTGAAAGCTATTATCATTCATCTTATTTATACATGTAGGCTACTGTACTTTTTTTCATTTGCAATTTTTTGTGTGCAACAACTACCAGATCAGGGCCGGTTTTAGTAGGTATGTAGTGCGTGCATGCACACATGCGGCCAAATTCTTAGGGCTGCCGATAGTGCACTAAAAAATATAATTTTTCATACTGTAAATATAATAATCAGCATACTCCTGCCGGTCACTATCTAACTCCTTTCCGGAGAAAACTTTTTGAATTACAGTATGTATAGATAATTGGGACATCCTGCCCCTAAGCTTTCTATATTTGGTCTTTATTTCCACGTATCTAACTTCGCTCTCGAGATTAAGGAAGGACAGAAACGGACGGACGACAGTGGGAATTTATAGATTACAATTTTTTCAAATTGCAGCCCAATTTAAATAAACAAAGAGATGCGCACCAACGTTATTAATTTAAATATTCATATTTAAATACATTTTTATATACACATACATATGTATTATATTTATATACTAAATAAAAATACTTTCATTAAATTAATTTCATTTTAATTTGCAACTTCTATTTGATGGCGACGCAGAAATATAACTTTAAACAAAGGCTCGTATTATCTTGATTTGAATAAAATTAAAATAAATATATATCAAATATATTTATGGATTCTTTTACCCCTTTCAACATGCTAGTAGGCTCTCATACGTTGGCTTAGATTGTGAATTTACTCACGATCAGCATNTGCTAACTAATTTGTAGTTATTTAGGAATGCACTATTATTCAAGTATAACACTATTCAAGTATGTTGAAATACTTTGGCATAGTGATCCTCATTCATTAATTTAAGACAAATACAATAAAATTTACATATCATTCAGATTCAAGTAAATACAGGTATACCTCGACTTACGTCGTTCCCGATTATATGTCGTTTGTCAAAAAAATATATGGAAAAATAAAAATCAAGCTTAAGTCATTTTATTTGACTTTACGTCTGTCTGCCACAAATATTGAAGTCGTAATATCACTAGAAAAATGTTTAAAGCACATAAAATCATATTATAATATATACATTTACAAGTATATACTGTACTGTATTTACGGTACATGCATTCGTAAATTTAAATTACTTTTTTCTGTACTATATTAAAAACTAAAATTTATTTGTTTGTAAGCTTAAAATAGATCGTTATTAACCATATAATATTAAAAATGCATTAATAAATAAAATACAGAACGGGAATTGGTAATTTATGGTTTAGCCTAGTGGCAAGTAGATTCGGAGACAAGTAAATTCGACTTAAGTCGTTCTCCTGGAACCAATTACCGACGTAAGGCGAGGTATACCTGTATAGAAAATGTATTAAAAGTCAGTTTATAACACTGTCAAATAAAATATTTATTTAATGCAGTCAAAGTATTTAACTACTCCGGAGGAGCCAAGTCATAATTCCTCTAAAACTTACTATGAAATATTTTTTTTATTAGAGGTTGATAACTGTATGAACACTAACTGATAGGTATTTGATGAGTCTCTTGCATCTATGAAGAACAAATTAGAAGACTATCAAAAGTGGAAAGTGACATGCTTAGGATAGTTTGAATGCTTGCACACAATGTCACTTCAAAAGCAGTGATAGAATTAGTAATCCTTTTACCACTAAAGATCTGGGGTCTAGTACTTATAATAAAATAATGCAGTTCTGGTATCCAATGGAAAGGAGTCAACTCTTATAGTATACAAATGTCTTTATTATTATTATTTAGATGTGGTTTATGACTATAGCAATGGGTCCTTTGGCTAATCTATGAATATATATATATATATATATATTTAATATACAAGTATATGCTCATAAAATATAAAACATAACATTCCTTTGATATGAAAATACGTTGAATTAATAAATGTAATATGTTAAATTCTGCACTTATGGTGTAAATTTTGCTTGCTAGATTATAAATTCAAATCCAGGGTGTAAAAACAAAAAATGAATTTTATTTTATTAAAAAAAACCTGCTTTATATAAATTTGTCATAAATTCCAAAGTTTATAGAAAATACTTTTGGTAGTTTAAAATTTAATATCATGCCTTGTAATAATACAAAAATATTTGATAATTTACACATTTCCTTATAAATAAATTAAAGAAAAAAAATATATATTATAATATATACACACAGTAAAACCTGCCTAAATGGAAAAAATTCATAGGAACAGATTTTCTGTTTAAAAAAAACCTGTTCAAAATGAAACCTGCCAAACTGAAAAACTTATTTGGTACTGTATGCGTAGTTTACACAGATATCTGTGTGTGTGTGTGTGTGTGTGTGTGTGTGTGTGTAGATCACTGGTGGTGTTCAGTAGTTTTTTTCTCAGAAACTGTTAGAGATATGAAGGTTGGACTAATTTATAAGTCACTTTTGAGCCATTATATGGCTAGAACATGACAAAATAAATACCTTTAGTAATAGGTCACATTTCCTTAAATCTAATGGGTTGTTCATAAATTATGTCCATGTTTTTCTTGAAATTTTTACTCCTCCTTCCCCCATTGTCTCAGTTTGTCCAAGTTTCTGTAACCCCTCACCTCTTTGGACATCTAACAAAAATAAATTCCCCTAAAATGCATAAACTGTATAAAATTTAATGAAATTAAATGAATGTCCATTAAGTTCAATCTCTCCTCTCCCCCTTGTCTGACTTGTAATAATCTCCTTCCTCCCTTTTAGTGTGGACATCATCTATGGACAGCCCTTAATGGTTTTCAAGATATTGGCCATTTTTCTAAAAATTTGATTTCTCTTTTTTCCAAAAGTTTCTATGCTGGAAACTAAGTTTATCAGTTTTCATTCTTTATCTTATCATATTAGATTGTTGGACAAGCATGCTTTGAATAAATTGAATTGTTAATTTTTCAAAGGCATCAAGGATTTTTTTTATTGAGTGGTCTTTTTTCAATTTTTGTGTATTTACATATTTCCTCCGTTTTCATGAAAATGAATTATTTAAATAAAGAATCATTTGATGTACTGAGGGCTTGAGATGCATGTTACCAAAATTATTATTAAGCTGAAAATCTTTATGTCAGTTTTCATGCAGACAAATTAATTAAGGAAATGGTTTACTTTTCAGCATCCTTCTACAGAAAACATGAAAATCAGAATTCAGGAAAGTTTTTGTAAGATTAGTAGATATAAATTGCAAAATGTATTAAATGCCTTTTCTAAAAGAATATATGCTTATATATGCCAAGAAAGTATACATTTTTAGTATTTAATTTAAAAAAATTTTAAATATACAGTACTTTCATTACTATCATGTTTCTGTCATGTAAAGCTTTTCAGTAAATAACCTGATAAACTTTGTTTTTAGCATAGTTTCTATGCTAAAAACAATGATTTCTGAAATGATTCCTGAAAAACAATGATTCCTGAATGATTTCTCTTATTCAGGAAAAAGAGAAATCATATTTTTATAACAAACTGGCTGATATCTTCATAACCTTTAGATTTAAGAAAATGTGACCTATTTTAAAAGGTGTTTTGTTTATTTTGTCACATACTATCCACATAATGGCTCAAAACTGTACCTTAATACCATATTTACTCGTTTATAAGATGAGGTTTTTATCCATTTTTCACTGCTTCAAAAACCTAGGTTGTCCTATATATGTGAGCAATGGATTTTTTGCATTTTTGCAATAATTTTTGTAAACCGTGTATTCACATTTTTTACCAGATATTCACCCTCTGGTATTTAAAAACAAAAGTATTCTATCTGGTCATTTTAATCGTTCTTGTGTATTGCCAGGAGTAAAGATGAATAGCAAGGAAAAGCAAAGCTTTTGAATTGAATTCCAAAATTACACAGGAGCTCAATATAAGTTTTAATCCATTCCCATGTGAAAACAGATGATTATTTGGAAGTTCAAAGAAACTCATAAGTGTAATTGATGAAGAGTGAATTCGACTGTTAAGAATTGGCAAAAAAGGTTCCCGATTGTCCATCTTTACATGAACAAATTATGTTGTCGATTTTACAAGATTTTTCCTTGAAGTGTAAGATGCCAATAATTTTTGCAGGACAATGTGTTCATTTATGTGCATTTGATATTTTATTTGTTATTAAACAAAATAAAATTAGAATTGTATTAATAAATCTAATTTTCTTTATTTCGATCTTTAAAGTCACACCCTGTCCTATATGCGAAATCGTCTTATATTCGAGTAAATATGGTAATTTAAAAAAAAAAAAATTATTTTGTTCTCTATCTCTAAAGCTTCTGATTCTCACAGTCATTCAAGGTCACCAAAATTGTCCCTTTCTGCTCTATAAACTTGGTTATTAGTTCCAACTTCCTATCTCTAACAGTTTCTGAGAAAAACTACTGGGTGTCAACAGTGAATCACCCTGAATATACATAAATTTATACATAGTTTCTAAATTATGTATTACTTATATGAAAATTTATCAAATTTTAAAATATTATGTAGTGGTCAAGAGAAACTATATCAGTGATAAAGTATTCTTGCAATTCAGTAA